TCCACCTTTAGTCCCGGTTGGTGTCTCCAACCGGGACTAAAGGTCCCCTGCCACTGTGCCGAGCGCAGTAGCCGTTGGGCAGGGACCTTTAGTCCCGGTTGAAGACGTCAACCGGGACTAAAGGTCTCTCTAGTCCCGGGCGCAAAAAATACCGGGACTAGAGCCCATTTTAGCCTCAGATAAAAGATCTGTTCTCTACAAGTGAACTATATGTGTCCAGTGATAGTAGTAATATTTTCATTATTCTTTCTAATAGTCTGAAAATATCGTGTATCCCTGAGGATTGTATCGGTTGTGCAACTATCAATTAAGCATAATTCCTCTTCCATAGCCATTTGTACTCCACGGGTTCTATAATAAAGCAATTAAATTTATTCAGCATGCAACTAAAATAAGCTTTAAAATAGAACAATAATATAACTAAGAATTTATTTAACATAAAACCGTCTGCAAGACTCTTATTACATCCAAACCACAATATTCATGCAAGGATTAAAATACTTAATGTATACTATTATTTTATTACTATACTATGGGATAGCTAAATAAGAGCTCAAATAGAGTCTCCATGCACATCTTCCTCTTCTTCATCTTGAATATCCGCCCTGTTCGCTTGGGCTTGTTGGACTTATAAGTCGTACTTTTCCAGCCAACGAATAATATTTTTCTCTCACACCAAATCAGCCAACAGTACTTTCGACCATGTCTTATCAGCTAAACAAGCCCAAACAAACAGGACGATCATGAGTTTCCATGTCTGTGCCCATGCCTTCAAGGTTCTTCATAATGACATCCCAACTGTCATTGGGCGTGATGTCTGCTGGCACATCTTCAGTCTTCTCAGGAACTTCAATCTCTTCTTTTTCTTCAGGTTCAGAAGATTTTTGCTCCCTGTCCTTGGACTTGGAACATTCTCCAATTTCCAACTTCTTAATCGAGACAAAGTGAGCTTCATGCTTAGCTTCATGCAGATTATTCTTGAGCTGAGCCTTCAATTCTTGATAGAGTTTCACTAGGCGTGCAACAAATTCTAGACCAATGGCCTTTCATCCCACACCTATAGCATTCTTGGTCCTGCTTGCCATATTCTCCCCCTGGTGGAATCTTCTTTGATTTCCATTGTTCCTTCTTCTTAAAATTATGAACCTTCTGGTTCTTTCCCTTCCATGGTGCCTTCTGTGGCCCCTTCCCTTTTCCTTCATTCTTCTTCTGAGATAAGGAAACAGCATGTGCTTCAGGCTTACTTAAGCTGCCAGTAGGACGAGTTAGATGGTTCTGCATCAACTCTTCATCTTCACCTTGGTCTTGCTGTAAAGCATTACTAAGGTCAATGTACTTCTTGTACTTTTCTTTCTTGTACTGACGACTTAAATAGGTGAGTTTAGGGTGAAAGGTTGATAGGGTTTTTTCTATGAGGTCTGATTCAGTCAGATCAATGCCACATAGCTTCATGCGTGTGACAATCCCATAGAGCTTGGCATTGTAATCCTCAACAATCTTGTCGTCTTGGTAGCGAAGATTCTGCCATTCGCGTTTCACCCGAGGAAGAAGTACAGTCTCCATCTTTTCAAAGCGTTCATGCAACGCATTCCACAAGACTTGAGGATCACGTTCAGTCATATACTCATTCTTCAGTGATGAGCTTATGTTATGCCTGAGAAAGTGTGGAGCTTGCGCCCTTTCAGCACTTGTTGCGTTCTTGTCATTGGTGGGTTTGATAGCATGCAAAAGATTATTTCCATCAAAGACAATCTCAGCATCTAAGGACCAAGAGAGATAGTTGCTGCATTCGGGGCCAGCTCAGTGATCTCTCTCTTCACGAGGTCAGACATGTCTACATGATAAAATAATGTGCATATAAGTTTACTGCTAGTAAACATGTAGTATATAAAAGTAATGTGGATGGGGAAAATTCTTAGTAATATAATTTATAGCATCTTCAGGAATTAATTGTCTATATAATTTTCAGAATTATTCATCAATTAGACATGCTAAAAAAATTGGGATATGAGTCTCATAGGGGGGTTCAAGAACAGAGAACTCATATATACTAAATTACTGTAATTATGCAAAACAGTAATAAATCAATGCAAAATGTAATTTCTAGAGATTGCAAATTATAATATTCTAAAAAAAATCTCCGTGCAATCTTTTCTACAGAAAAGATTTAATAGTTACTTCTAATTATAGGAGAGAGAGCACTAGCAGTACTACTCGGCTTAGGATCCTTAAACGCTATCCGTCCAGGCTGTGAACTCTACCGTAGAATCCTTCTCTCTCTCCACTCCTGGTCTTTTCATTTCTTTTCTTGCTCCGTTCAGCCACGGCTGCGCATCTTCTGGCAGCGCAGGCGAGCGGTGAGCCACGAGTGTTCGTGCAATTGCTAATACTCGCGTGCGGGCGAGCAGGATCTTGCGTGCGGCCCTGCTGTAGCTCACGTGTAGCCGGGAGGTGAGACGCATGCGGGCGTCATCGTCTAGTGGCGGTCTACGGCGGCGCGCGTGCAAGCGGCAGGGCAGGTGGCGACGCAGCAAGGCGGCCGAGCGGTATGCGACTCGCGTGCAAGCGCTTCGCGGTGAAGCCGTGAAGAGTGGTAAGTAGGGATGCTATTTCTCGTAGATCTAGATATGAGTTAGTCTTCCTGCTGCTCAGATTAGGGTTTATTTGATTTCGACTAATCAGCTTGTGTGCTGACTTGTGGTCGTCAGACTTCGTGCTGGCGATATGTACCCTATTAATCCGTTGTTATTCGATGCCGGTGGATTTTCTTCTTCTTTCTAGATCTAACTATGGTCGGTTCTGGCCTTCAAGGCTAGTACTGAGGCTACGAGTTTTCCTCATCTAGTAGATTAGAACGCATTCAATCTAATCTACTAAAGAAAATTCTTTTGTACATTCTGTACTTGGGTTCTTGAGTTCGAGAAGTGAAGGCTGTCGCGTAGGACAGTTCGGCTAGGCCGCGGTGACCTGCCGGTGTGACGATGAGTCGATGCAGATCGGTTCGTCAACAACGTCGATGTTCTCGGCGTCGTCGAAGTGACTTTGATAGACCGGCCTCCGTAGATGTACGGTTGCAGGCTTAGGGTTAGTTCGCTGGTCCGGATTCATCCAGCCAGCCGGCTGATCCTCCTCACAGTTCACTATTCACCAAATCAGTCGAACAGTGTTTTTCTCTTACAACAAACCAGCCGGAACAGTGTTTTCAGCCAAGTTTCAGACCAACTCCGGCGATGTCGATGCAAAGCGGTCGTGCTGATAACGTGTTGTAAAACACGTCGTTGACGTCGGATCGACTCTCGCTCTCAATGGTAACGCAAACACAGAAGTGAACACAAGAAAACAATTGTGGGACTATTCTTTATTGCTTTCTGGATATTGATAATTACAATAGAGGTCCCACGTATATATAGTCCGAATATGTCCTAGAGTTTGGTAAACGTCCACACGACAAACGGACTAGGATTATGATTCCTCCTTCTCATCTTTCTATATTTGAAAGTCCGTATGTTTTACAACAGCTGGATCTTCTCCGACTTTTAAAACTGGTTATAAAAACTATTACAGAAATATTTTAAAAAAAAAATATGTCTGACTATTTTTTCTAGAAAATAAATGCAATTAAAATAATAAAAATTAACTTAGTCTTAGACTGTCTTCAATAGGAGACCCAAACCAAAAATATGTCTCCAACAGAATAATTATAGCCTCCAACATAGTACATATATAGAAGATCTATTTTGGGTATCAGAAGAGGTATAATCCCAATCTGAGTATCATCTCTCCTGGAGACCTATTTGCAGAAAGGATTCTCTTTTGAATCTTGTTGTTGAAAAAGACAAAAAATGGGTATTGAACCATTTACCTATTGCACTACCCAAACGTGAAATAGGTCTTGTATTTTGGGTAGCGGTTGTTGGAGACAGTCTTAGAAGTTTTATTTTAGCTCAGAAACGTATGAAACTGGTTTTAGTTTTTTTTTTTTAAAAATCATATTATATCTTATTGTGCCTAGCTTTAAAAAATAGAAAATTGGGACTGATCTTCTATATTTTGCTAGCTAAAACAAAGTTTCCAAGATTTAATTAGATTTAGGATTTTAATTACATAAATTTTTAAGAAAAAATATTTGAATATTATAGAAAATATTTTTCCTTTTGACCATCTTAAGCTATTAACATAATCTGATTTACCACTTGTAACTAGCGTGGAACCACATAGGATATCATTGCTGAAGCCAATCAGAATATAAAATCAACAGGTTTCAAAAGTGGGAAAGTCAAGCAAGCAGCTTTCCGATTAAAGGAAGAGAATAGAACTTTAAGCAAAGTTGGAGGAGGTGAAAAGGAGTTTTTAACCTTTTTGCTCGGACTTTAAAGAAAAAATTCTTTGTAACGTTGTTGTTGTAGGGTTTCTTCACCGACTTAATCACTAAACACGTGTATACAAGAACGGGGTTTATAAAGGGGAAACCAAACAGAAAATGATAAAACCGAAGCTATTTTTGTCCAGAAATTAAACCAACAAAAGATAGCTTTTTTTTCTGAGCTCCTCGCTTTTTTAAAAGCCCAAATGCTGCTCAATACTAGTTCAATCGGACAAAAGCACAGGGAGTCAGGGTCAAAGCTGCAGTTGACTTTGACTTCCCGGTCTGCACCCGTGGGCCCCGCCGGCGCTTGGTTTGCTTTGCCGGCGGTGTACCTCCTAGCTACTACTCCGTTCGTCATGTCTGACAACGATGTAAGTGCGAATTTGGAAATTCATCGAAAATCAAACGAGCGGCAACCTTATTTCCGTTTCAGAGTTGCATATCATCATCTTCAATATATACAAAGCAATTTGTTATAAAACACACACACACGAAGCCAATCTCTTGCCACTTTGGCAGCCAAACCGACACTAGCAGGCAGCTCTCTCTGGTGACCGGTGTGTGTGAAGGCTGCAGAGCACGACATGGACACAGACGACGATGTCAAGCAGGTGACGACGCGCGAGTACATGCATCAGATCTTGAAGGCCTTCTCGACGCTCTCCCTGCGCGCGCAGACGGTCTTGTACACCCTCATGAACTCCCGGAACGTCACGGCGCGGTACCGCGCGCCGCCGCCGCCGCCCCCGGCGAGCTCCGCGGCGGGGGCGACGAGGCAGTCGTCGGTGGGCATGATGAACGTCGCCACCGACGTGCGCGGCACCGCCGCGTTGGCCGCCGTGCGGTGCTCCACGCTCTTCAGCAGCCCGTTCGTCGCGATCTGCACGCACGCACGCGCCACCCCATCGTCATCAAACAACTCAATCAATCGCATCTCGCCACGTCTCGCAAGAAGAGAAAAAGAAATCGTGGACCTCGAGCTGGTGGCCGAAGCTGACGACGAAGGCGCTGGGCACGGGCTGGACGCGGATCTAGTCGCCACGGTAGGAGACCTTGAGGCCGGCGACGCTCCCCTGGAGGAGCAGCGTGATGAGGTTGCGGTCGCAGTGCGGCGGCAGGCCCAGCGTGCGCGCCGGGTCCGGGCACGGCGGGTAGTGGTTGACGTTCACGACCACGTCGCCGGCGCTGAGGTCCCCCTCGAAGTAGTCCGGGCGGAGCCCCACGCCCTCGCACAGCAGCCGCAGCAGCGCCATGCCCAGCGCCCGCGTCGGCGCCACGAACCTCTCCGTCGCCTCCCTGAGGCCGTCAGGCTTGTCGGGCCAGGCGCTCTTGGCGTCGGCGGCGACGGGGAAGCTGCCGCAGGCGAGGCGGAGGCAGTCCCGCCAGTACCTCTCACCGCCGGTGCCGTAGGTGGTGCTGGTGAAGAGGCGGTTCGGCCTGTCCGTGTCCTCGGAGTAGAAGGCCGCCTTGTCCTCCGCGGGCAGGCGGAAGAACTCCTCGCAGCAGGTCTCCATGTCCCGCACCGCCTGCTCCGGCACGCCGTGGTTCACCACCTGGAAGAAGCCTAGCTCCTTGCCAGCTTCAAGAACGGCTCGCCGGACCTCGTCGCGGGGGGCGGAGAGGTCAATGACGGGGAGCGCGACGGCGGCGGACGACGCCGGCGGGCGCTGCTCGGCCGGGAAGACGAAGCTGTCCGGGAGTGTCTCCTGAGCCCTGAGGTGAGTGGACGGATCGGGGAGCAACGCCAGCGAGATCGGGGGAGGAAGTCAAGAGAAGGCAGCACTGCAGCTGAGCAGAACGAGCCACGAGGTGCACGAGGAACAAGAAGGGCCCATTCGGCTTTATCGTGTTCAATTGGTAGATGTGTCGGTAACTTACTCATTTTAAAACATAGTTTCGTGATCTTTTGCTCCCTGTTCGTGGCGATTAATAACTAACACTACCTTTCTTGTAAGAGTGTAAAGACTACCAAATAAGTGCATGCATATATTTTCAAGATCATATGAAGAAGTTTCATTTCGGATGCTCGTACTTAAGCACATGGGAGTCAACTTTAGTCTCCTTTCAAGGTGAATAATATTTAAATTTATACCTTTATATGCAATTTTAACAAAAACCTTGATTTCATATATTGTTCATGTAGAGAATTTAATTGTGCTTTTTTTACAATAATATACATTTTTGTGAATTTAAATGTATTTGTACCTAATTATCGGAATTACTTCATGTTTGAACTACAAAGAAATAGATATATGAGTACAAACCTATATTTCAAGATTGTTTGTGAATTTGGAATAAAAATAAACCCAAATGTTTCTATACTGTTTGAACATGAATTATGGTTACTGTTTGTTCCCATTACATGTTCATTTCATAACACATGCTTTTCTTCTGAAGTTCTAAAATTTGTTTTGGGACCAAAATTTATCCTTATAGAATTCAAATGTTTGGATAGTTTACACCTTGTTTCTCTTATTATTTTATATTTTTTGAAACAAAATTATAATTTTTTAGCAATAATACACCTTCTAACAATTTATATTTTATACTTTTATTAAAACAAGGAAACATTAGTGTTGGTAACACTTTAGATTTGGCCCACTCACAGATTGGGAGCCCAGAATGTGCCCCTTTTAATTTGGACTGTTGGATGAAACCAACGGCCAAGATCACATCTAGGGTCAAATAAAACCCTTGAAACCCTACCCTCCCTTCCATTCATGTCCTCCCCCGCACCTCCTTCCCCCTCATAGATTGGCGGCGGGCCCTTCCATTATATATCCTCCTCTATTGTCTCTCCTCCTTCCTCTCAGATCTGTGCCACCAAGCATGAGCGTAACCTAGCTACCCTCCGTATGCTCATCGCCTCCCTGCTCGCAGTCGTAGGCTTCTCTAAGGAGGAGGATCCGAACCTTGGATCCATCTAGGACTCAGTCAAGGTCACCGGCCAAGGGAAGAAGTACTATGCCGCCCTGGAATACCAGGGCAACACCATCGAGCTGGTAAGCTGCCGCCTTGCTCCGCCATCACTCGCTTTCGCATTTTGTTGTGTGCCGCTAATCATTCACAATAACAGCTTGTAAATCTTGTATATACACCCAATTATTGCTATATAATGACTAAGAGCAGCTCTAAGAGTCTAAGTAAAACGTTATGTGATGGCGTGAAGCTAGATATGGATATTATTGGCCAAAAAAAAACGTCTCCAACAGATTGTGCAAGTTCATCTCCAAATTTAGTTACTCCTCATCCCAAAAACTTCGGCGGATAGACTTGGATAGCTAGTTTCGCTCTCCATTGGGGCTTCGTATGTGCTCGGCTGCCCCTTCCCGCGCACATGAACTGTCTTGCCGTGCATGCTTGAGTAAATTTTTTGCCTGTTCCTAGGTCCCCTGCTCAGGTCTAGTCAGTCTTTTGTTTGTCCTCTCTTCTTCAACTTTACAAAATACTTATTTTTATCCAGACCCAATTCCACCTAGTTTTGTACGGCGTCGATGTGATAGTGGTTTAATTGATGTTTTTTTACTAGTTTACATGGGTCCCACAATTTTTCTTTTTTCTCTCTCTTTTCCTTTCAGGCCCTGTTTGGAACACAGTATTTTTTTTTCTTTTCTGTTTGTGTGTTTTATCTGTGAAATTGAACTGATTTCTGTAAAGTTCATGTGCAAATCTAATGAAATTCATACGTTCCAAATAGGCCTTGTTTGGAGCAATCATGTGTTCTAGCCATTTCATTGAATAAGTTGAGTGCAAGGCCAGGCTTACCGGTCTTGCCCGATGCCCTCGTAGTCCTCCGATCTCAACTAACATCTTAGCAAAGACAACGATGTGGTCAGGCTTCCATGTTCCAGTTCTAGCCACTGACGATCTGGAGGAGAGGAGCAGAACGACCCCATGGGGTTTAATTTCTTCATCTCTTGGGTGTGGATGGATACGACGACCACGAGGAGGGGCTAATAAGGACGCTGCTCTGGCGACGACGTGTGGGTGCGACGCGAATGTGTAGCATGGTTGGGGTGCAGCGTGGCAGCATGCCGACCTAGAGATGTTGGTGCGCAGTGTTGGATCAGGAGAACTGTCTCCTCGACGTCCACAAGGTCCCTGATGTGCGGATTTAGAGGCCCCGGCGGTGTCCCTGGCCATCAGGGCATGGCGTCGCCCGCGCGCGGCAAAACCTGGAGATCGCTGCTCGATGTGGAAGCCATTCTTCACGGTCGCGTGCCTGCTAATGATAAGCCTGTTGGAGAGAGGTCAATGCATCTTGAGGGCATCATCAGCGACGTGTCATTCCTTGGTGGCGTGGTGCGCATCTCTTTCGCGTCCGAAACCACCCTCTAGGAACAACGATCCCTCGCTGATGATGTCGTCTAGATGCAATGACCTCTTCTTGGAGGACTTGTCATGAACACGAATGCCACCGTGGAGAATGGCTTTCGCATCGACCAGCTCCTCTTCCGTCGCGTGCCACTTACTGATGGCAGGGGCCATCGATAGCCACCTGAGCCGTGCACCGGGGATCTCGAGCATGTTGAGGACACGGCTCCTTCGCCCGGTCCAACACGACGTAGGGCACACCTAGCATCTCCAGCTCGACATGCAGCCACATGCCACCATCCGCCGCACCTTGTCACCGTGCCCAACGTACACATTGCACATTTGCACAAGCACGTCCTTTGCCAGCCATATTCTCCTCACGGTTGGCACCATAGTGTCATCGTCCTCCTCTCCACTAGACCAACCAGGATGTAGAACCCGTGTGCCAACAAAATTCGAGAGGGACGTGCGGGTGGCGCGCGAGCTCCGGCCACGGCACTGGTCGACGGCGAGGTTCTTCAGTGGGCATGGCGAGGCTCTGTAGGCGGCCCACGAGGTCTGACGGTAGCGCAGGAAGCAGGTGAGGTCCTACGTCGGCCCCCGCAAGGCTTTGCAGCCGATGCACCAGGTCTCGTGGCAGCGAGGTCCCACGGCGATGTTGGTCGACGGCGAGTTTCAGGTGCACGGGAGATCCGCAGGTACCCATGGAAACGACAGACACCTCCCCAACATGCCGCGAGTTTGTTTTATCAACTTCGTGATGCATGAAGACTCGATTTCTAGTTTAGAAATGGTTTCTTTTTTCTCCCTCCTCATTAACTCCGCTTGCCACATCAGCAAAATGCCTATGTGGCAGGTCAATTAATATGCATAGAAACTATGGTAGTTTCTGCATTGTGAGTGCCCACTCTCTCCCAATGCAGAAATCAGAATGATTTTTATCCCTATTAATTACATTGCCATGTAGACATTTTGTTGATGTATCAAATAATTTATTTATTGAGAAAAGAGTAAAAATTAAAGAAACAGTTTGTAAACAAGAAACTGTGTCTTCACGTGAAATGATAGAAAAAACTAAGGGTGTCGTATCGGGGAGGGCTGCTGGTTTATATCGTGTGGGAAATAGCAGGGCCAAACTGCTGAACTCTAAGGACAATAAAAAAATAATTGGTAATTTAATTATACCTTAATTACGTTGTCTAGTAACACCCTCCGTACGTGGAGATCAACGATGCACAGCGCCGCTTCTGGCCCCACCAGAGTCGTCTAACGGAGACGTCATATATAGACGGAACGTTGACTTTTGGCCACACATTAATCCACCAACAAAAAAAAAAGAATTTATCAAAAAAAAGTCCGTGCCAAAGAATATAATCCAAACCATGCAAAGCACTACACACCTTCCCAGTTTGCGTCGCTCCTTGTTGGATTTCCTGGTTTTATCAACTGCTTGGCATGCAAGCATTTTGTTAATGCTTCTCGGATTTCATTGACGCATTCCCTTATTTGAGTGCTCCGTCGCATATCGTTCCTCTCTCAGTGACCACTAGAACGTGATCTTGGACTAGATAAGTTCCTAGAATCCGGATCAAGATCACATTTTAGCGCCGCTGAGAGACGAATGACATGACGGATGAGTCAAATAAATAAGGGGGAAGAGACACTAAAATCCAAGAAGCATCAACAAAATGTTTGTATGCAAAACAGTAGAAAACCAGGATTTCCAACCGGGAGCCAAGCAAAGTGGGAATTGGGAAATGTGGTTAGTGATTTGCATGACGGATTCTTTGTCACTGACTTTTTTATGATATTTTTGGAGTCGATTAATTGCTATACCCAAAAGTCATAGGTCCATCTAGGATGATGACGTGTATCGTGCGCAACAACCCACAAGGGTCGTCTACAAAAGCCTCGAATCTGACATACAGATAACTAACTATTTCACTAAGTGCAAGCTATTTAATGCATGGAATGGAGGCAAGATCATTCATAAATACCATTTTTTATAGAAAAAGGTCTACTTAACCCCCCATCTTTCATACATGGTCTACTTTACCCTCCAACTATGAAACCGTCTGTTTTACCCCCTGAACTTTCCAAAACCGTCTATTTTACCCCCTGGGCGGTTTCTTGACAGCGGTTGCTACAGTAACATCGTGTTGCTACAGTAACGGTGGGTTGCTACAGTGATAGTGGTTTGAGTTTCCTTTTTTATTTTCGATGAATCTTTGAAAAATCACAGTAAATCATAGAAAAATCATAAAAAAAAATCTAATTTTGTTGGACTCCACATGAGTAGATCTACATAGTGAATATATAATACGGTATGCTTTAGTACAAAATTTTTACTGTAGCCTTAGATTAATTGGAAAATCTAATTTTGTCTGTAATTAATTGGAATAATTCATAGCTGCAACTTCTATGGTCCAATTGTGGTGAAATTTTTATGGTACGCTAATTATTGTATGCTTGAACTATAGTAAAAATTTCGTACTCATTGGACTATGTATAACTTAGTTATAGATAAATTCTAATTAATTACAGAAAAAATGGATTTTCCAATTAATCTAAAGCTACAAAAAAAAATTGTACTAAAACATTCCGTATTATATATTCACTGTGTAAATCTACTTATGTGGAGTCCAATAAAATTAGATTTTTCATTTTATGATTTTTCTATGATTTACTATGATTTTTCAAAAATTCACTGAAAATAAATAATAATAAAAAAGAAAATTCAAAACCACCATTACTATAGCAAACCCGCTGTTACTGTAGCAAACCGCTGTCAAAAACCGCCCGGGGGGGTAAAATAGACGGTTTTGGAAAGTTCAGGGGTAAAACAGACGGTTTTATAGTTGGGGGTGAAGTAGACCATGTATGAAAGGTGGGGGGTTAAGTAGACTTTTTCCTATACCATTGCGTTGCTATATGATACAAAATGGATCAACCATAAATAAGATGAACATGATTGCGATATTTAAAAAAACATCAATATAAACCATGCTCACAACATTTTGAGAACTGCAGGAGCATGCAGTTTTCTATGTAGCATTGAACCGCCCTCTGCTGTCAACGTCAAAGTATCCTGAACATCCAAACAATGAAACAACCCCTTCAGCCAAGTTAAAAGTTGGATGCACCCCAGCTGCAGCCCAAACGTCCAATGCTACAATTTTACAAACTCTCTGAAACTGACAAAAAAAATTAGATTAAAGAACGGAAAAGTATTCCGGTCTCTCTGAAACTGAGAAATATCCCCTTGATGTTAGTATTAGCATAAATTTTCCTGCAAAAACTGCCTAAAAACTCTCTGAACCTCTGAATGTCACTATATCTAAAGTCTAAACTATCTGAATGTTGCTACACTTGCAAAATAGTGTTACTCTCAAGAAGATTGGCTCTCCTGCTCGTTATCTGAACCTCTGAATGTTGCTACCCAAATCTGGCACTCATCACAACAAAGCCAGTTTCCACCATCTGTGTGGTGTTAAATGTTCTTCCATATGCCACAATATTGTTTCGACTGCAATAGATTTTCACAGTGCCTACAAAGCACCTGCTCGCTCCCTTGCTTCCTTTTCTTTGAAACCTTGGGTGGTCGTGGTAGGCGATTACCACAGTTATCACAACACAGTACTGATTTACCAACAAGATGAGAGTCTGTACCAAATTTACAGTGTCTGAGCAAACTTTAGAATTTTTTCATCTCTCAAACGGTTGTGAGTTTGATCTATGTACTTAAACAACAATTATAGAGCTCTGAAACAGGAACAACTTTTCTTAAGGCCAACTAGGTTAATTATATTCGGAATTTTGAGAACCGGATCGATGAAAAGGGATCTGAAACCTGAACTTGGCACCGGCAGCAGCTTGCCTGCTTCCCGACGAGTCGACGCCGCCGACCGCCACACGTAGCTACTTACAGTTACCGCCGGGACGCCACTGCTTAACGCTGCCACGCCCTTGGATGGCGACGCCGCCGTCGTGGCCGTGGTTGGGGAGCTGTGTTCGGTCGGGTGGGCGCCCTCCAAAACCAGGATCTGCACATGCCCGCACGGGATCCGCGTGCGCTATCGAGACGAGGCAACAAGCCATACAATGCTGCTCTAGGCGGCGCTTGGGCCTCGGAGCACGGGCCCTTGACGTCGTCTCGCAAGGCGACGGGGCCATCGTCACCAAGCGGAGCCAAGGTGCCTTTTTTTTTTGCAAAAGAACGAAGACACAAACGAGGATAGAGGACGCGTTGTACATGCCTTAGGCTGTATGCAGGGCCAAAGCTATATAAAATGTAACCCCTCCCCCTAAACATATAAAATAGTGACTTTAATTGAAATTTCACCATATATATATATATATATATATATATATATATATATATATATATAGAGAGAGAGAGAGAGGGTAAGGCTATTCTGCAGCTGGCCATAGAATAACTTATTCTATAGCCACCTTGATTTACGATAATGTTTATATCAATTTACGATAACATGAATATACATTTACAATACTCGTGTTACTATAACTCACGGTGATATTTACCATAATGTTATAGTAAATCATCTAGTAAGGAGTTACTGTAGTCTCGTAAATTAGCATAGTAACTATTATAACTCAAAGTGTGCAGAACAGTAGTTATATATATATATATATATATATATATATATATATATATATATATATATATATATATATATATATATATATATATATATATATATATATATATACACACACACACACCACTAAGTAAGGCATATATTTATGCACCCATACAAGACCGGTGCACTTACCTTTAATTTACTCTAGCTTCGCTACAGGTCCTATAGTAGGGTCCATGAAAGCAAGGCCATGCACTGTTAATCTTGTGATGGAGGGCTGCAACAGAAGGACCATAATTGGTGGCGATGGATTATTAGACAATGTTAGGTGCAATTGCTCTTTATTGTCCATTTTAGAATTTAGTAGTTGGACCTGTGTTTTACCACACGATACATATAGCATGAAATTATAAAAGTATATACTTTTCGAATTTCATGAAAGTGCTTTGTTTGATCCCATCCTGGAGATAATAGAGCCATCATTATCATCAGACTCAAGCCTTATGAGCTTGCTTTGGCTAACCAATGGACCTAGGAAAACTCTGTACCAGGATTCCCTCCCTCGCTAGCTAA